TATAAATTAGCCTAGCAGCTAGTGGACTTTTCCTCTACTCATATGAAACCAGGGACAACAGCAACATTTAACAAAGGTAACGTTACAAAATTCGGCTCCATTACAGCTCACAAGGCTCACTGACAAAACAACTGTCTTACGCTAAACACGTTTTCCAAACACGTTATTAGCACAAGCCTATGCCATTTTACATTGTATAAATTAGCCTAGCAAATAGCGGAAATTTCCTGTGCTCATACGAAAGGAGAGCAGACAGCCCAGGGGGCTAGTGTCACGCTCATCAAGCGAGGGGTCACGTCGCTTCCCAGTATTGGACACTTGATGGGTGTGACACTAGGTGTGTGGGCAGTCTGCTGTTGGAATTCAAGCCAGACAAACATGGCGGCTCCTTTTAAACATACTCTTATATTAAGAAAATAGGTCGCTGAAATGTGTTTCCAGGGGCGGTGGGTCATTCTGGACATCCCTGATTTGCATAAAGTAGCCTAGATTCAACTTAATGTAACAATCTCTGTCTCTGTCTTGCTCTGTCGTACAGCGTTGTTGGGACGTGGCTCTCGGGCCCCTGAAACAGATCCCCATGAACCTGTTCATCATGTACATGTCAGGCAACACCATCTCCATCTTCCCCATCATGATGGTCTGCATGATGGCCTGGAGGCCCATACAGGCGCTCATGTCCATGTCTGCCAGTGAGTATCCAGCATGAACAACTAAATATATAAATCCTGATTTGCTCTTTCTGGCATTTCATCCACTCCTTTGTCCTCTTGTGTCTCAGCCTTCAAACTGTTGGAGAGCTCCAGCCAGCAGTGGCTCCAGGGCCTCGTCTACCTGGTGGGTAACCTCCTGGGCTCAGCGTTGGCCATCTACAAGTGTCAGTCGATGGGACTGCTCCCGACACACTCGTCCGATTGGCTGGCTTTCATAGAACCACCTCAGGTAAATGAATAAGATTTATTTCTTTCACTGAACGGCACTAAAAATGGAATTTGTGGTCTGTGGTGTTGCAGATTGTCCGTATTAATCTCATTTGACTGTTTTAAATCTTTAATTTTGATCCACCACCTCCTAAATAAATCAAACTTTTTAGTTCTGGGGTTTCAGCTTGTGTCATAAATTGTGGCTGCTGTTCACCTGCATGCCAGTAGAGGGCAGGATATGACCATTTTGTCATTCAGTCATGAATCATAAGTCATGTAAACAGGTATGAAATCTAAGAAGTACTACAATGGTGATTTCTTCATCTCTGCCATGCTTGGTAAATATCTGTCAGATTACCTTGTAACATAGATTTGAGTTTCACCGTCCTTTTTAAAGACGCAACTGTCAGTCAAACAAAGCCTACAGAAACATGCCTTCACGGTGGACACAATAACAGGACCCAAAGTTACGGCGGATCATTAAACAGTCTTAAAAGGTATTGAATAAATGTATCTAAAGATAAAGCCTTAATTGGGATAAAAATGTCTTGAATCAGTCTCCTAAAAGTCTTAAAAATGCAAAGACATGGGAAATAGGATTTAATGAACAGTTCTTTTCCTGATGCATTGAAAAATCTCTTGAAAATTGGTAACATCTGTTTTTGTTAGGGATGCAAGATATTGGATTTTTTTTTGCTGATATCCGATACGCAGATATGTAACAACTCATTTGAAATTTAGATGTTGAGTCAAGAGACAACAGCCTCCCATCTCATGTCGAAACATCAAAATTCCACGCACAGCCAGGGCAACACCGTTAAAAGAAAACACACAATCTTCACAATAACGCATCATCTCTGTCTTGAGGCGTTTTCAGCCAAATTTAAGGTGGATGTGGATGAGTTCTCCAGGAGGAGTTTGTTACCACGCCTGGAACTGCTAAAAAGGCAAAGGTCTAAAAATGAAAAGTAAATTCAAAATGGCTGACTTTATATTGGGTGTAGGGTTTGGCATTTCAGACATCTAGGTGAAACCAACCTGGTCTCACTCCGAAGTCGTGGAAATGCGGCGCTTGGGCAGTGACTAACGGCGTCAGACACCGAGGGAAAAAAGTCGTCCTGTAACGTCGGCATGATGCGCAGCTGGCCGTCCGACAAACACCGACTCTCATCTGAGAGAGCGGTGTTTGCATCCCTTAAGATTCTAAAGCCAAACCCTGTTCTATTTTCCTAAACCTAACCACGTGTTTGTTGTTAAAGGAAAAAAACTCAGTTTAGGGTGTTGTACTGATGTAGTGTGTTTATTTTGAAAGAGACTATGTAAAAGTTAGTGATGGCCAAATGAAGCCTCATGAACCACTGTCTTTATTTTCTGAAGCCACTAGATGATGCTGTCTGTTCAACAAAGGTTTGAAAGCACATTTCATTGCCAGTCCTTCAGCCTTTATCTTTAAACCAAGAGCGCCATCTGGTGGGGTCAGAAAATACAGAAAGTGGTTTATGAGGCTTCATTTGGCCATCACTCGTAAACGTTAAAAGTCCATGACCAAACATCAATATGGGAGGTCAGAGTGAGGATGTGTTGGTGAAACAACAGTAGAAGGCAACTTTTTTAAAGTTTTAAAGGGGGCACTACGGAGCCACTTTGTCCCACTCGAGCATGAGGCCCAAATAATATCAAATTATTCATCAGTTGTGATGCATGTGCAGAGCTCTGTGAGTTTTCGATCACATTTAGACTCTAAAAAATGTGACTCTTCTTTTGAAATAATAATAATTAACAGCAGTTTCAATAGTGTCCTCCGAACACAGATTTAACGTAACCATTTTCCTTTCTTCTCAACAGAGGATGGAGATCATGGGTGGAGGGATGGTGTTGTGAAGATGACGGAGCACGCACATTGAATAGATTCAGATATTTACAGAGGTTATATACTGTACAGTCTCCTTCTGCTCAGATTCACAACAGGTTACAACACGTTTGTTAATAAATCAGCGGCAGGATGTGCGGCACAGCTTTCTGCCACACACACACTCTGTTTTCCTTTATTTAACAGAGACGTTTAATTTCCCATCCTGCTGCCTTGCTTCATGGTTTCAACCTCTGTTGTTCATTTGTCTTTTAATAAAGGTTTAAATGCCAGCAGATCATCACACTGAACTACTGTATTTTTATTTCTAGGTAAAACAACAATAAGAGGTTATTAGAATACAGAATTAACATCATTAAAACATTTCTTTATCAAAGTAAAACTCTGTAAAACATTTTGTCAGGAATGAAGTCTTAGTAGGTTTTATTGCAGAAGGTTTTTTTAATCCATTTTTTTTTTTGTCTCTCAGTTTGTAGTTACATGATTTCAGCATGCCAACCAACAACATTTACTAACCTGCTTAATTTATGAGTCTCTTTAAGTTATACTGATTTGCTAAATGAAAATGTTCTATAAAATAAATCCGAAATAAAATGCTTTCAACTGTGTCAGTAAATGTGTCGGATGAAAAAGAGTTTTGTTCAGCTTTTCTCCACCAGTTTTTATATCTGAGTACGCTGAGATTCATTTGTATTATTTACTTCTTTTGTTACATTTGTTATGTTAATAGTGACTGGCAGCTTGTTTTTTTTTAGAAGATGTGGAGAAGTAGAAATCAAACAACTTTAGGGGAAATGAAGGAGTTTTGGTGTCAACATGTGTCACAGTTTCATTCTGATGTCTACAGTAGAGACTCTTAAGAAACATTGATTGAGCAATCATGTTGGCAACTTGTAAAAATCATGAATTTGTTTGCTTAAGATGGTAACGTGTTTGAGTCACAACCACAAGAAAACAAAGATTGATAACTCAAGATAACACGATTAAACAAGTCAAGGTTGCGCAATATGACGCCATATACAAACACGAATAATGAGATAATGGCCCCTGGGCACAGATATGCAAAGGGCCTCACCACTGCTGCAACATAGGAACAAGACACAGACTTTGTGGTGGTGTTGTGTCTCATTTAACCCTGTTCCCCAAAATAGGCTCCAAGTTTTGAACCAGTTCTGCTGATTCGTAGAACCTCTGTGCTATCAAGCAAACCAGCCAGCATTTTCAACAGTTCTGGGCAGAACCATTGTAATCAAGGATGCATGGGTAATGGAGGGCGCAGCAGAATGCACAACGGAAGTTAACCACAGGGACATCATAGGCAAGGGTGAAATGCCCAACATTGAGCAAAACAGAAAAAAAGAAGAAGCAAGGCTACACTGCAGTGCTACTGACAACACGTCCTCCATGTCCACGATCGTCCATCAAGACCACAAAGGTCCCCGTGATCCCAAAACGTGACCACTGGAAATCCAGAGCCCCTTCAGGGGGGGGTAGAAATCTTCCAGCCATCTATGACCCACCATCCATCTCGCATGTTCCAACACGTAGGGGGACAAAACAAAATTCATCAAACAAAACAAACGCACGAAGAAAAGATCACTTCAAAGTCAATAAGATTTCCATTTTTTCCAATACTGTTCACATTTTTCAGTGGCGTGTCTCAGGGGAAAAGTCAGTTGTTCCATAACATAAATTTCCTTAACTATTTCTATCCATTCAGAGACTCTTTACTCAACCATTTCCTGGTTATTGCTTTTTTAGAACCTGCTAATTTGTAATAAATATCTGTCCTGCTTTGATAGTCCAGTTGGCACATTTCCCAAATACATTATACTGAAGTTAAAATCCAGTTCTAAACTCATTATTGATCTGATCTCTGTAACCACAGGAAATTTGAGGACACTCCCAAAAGATACGAAAGTGACCAGCAGACATGTTGCCGCACATTCTCCAACACTGACCATGTTCTACGAATATTTGTTTCTAATAAAATAAGCATGGACCAACCAATAATGGCTTAACTTTTTTTCTAAAGATGCTATTTTTTTGGTTTAGTTTAGTTTAGTTAAGTTGCACATACATGTATAGAAAATGCAGGAAAAAGAAATCCCAGCAAGCATTTTTTGGTTTAAAAACCTTCTAATAACCATCTACATGAAGACCTGATGTCTAGGCTAAATCACAGCTGAATTTGGGTTGTCATTGAAAATTTGGTAGACGTCTAACCATAGCCAAAGTGTAGACGTCATCAATTATACGGCTATGTAGAGACCATGTCCAAAAAATGGAGATAAACATATTTTATTACTGTTGACTCTCTATACGTGATTGAATATCAAACCGCACGCCATCTGCAATGGTGAAAATTACATTTAATCAATTTCAAAATTAAATCGGCTAGATTTAGGTTACATGTAGCTAGACTAAATCGGAGCTAAATATAGCCAATACGTTTGAATCATGACTATTGCTTGCTGGGTTAAAACAGTCCCTCGAGTGTCTGGTGGAATATGAGTGAATATCTGAGGGAGAATTTAAAAAGTTCTGGAAAACGCTCTGCAAGTCATGATTGAGATGTACATATTTATATATGAATACACAACTGTGGTGTATGTTCACATTAAAAATTGGTAAAAGTTGATATTTTCTAAAGAGAGAGGCAGATGAGGTTCCAGTTTACAACCAACTTTTCAATTTATTTTTGGCTGAAATGCTTTGAACTTTTCAAAATTAGGTGCAGGAACTGGAGCGTAACCAGTTTCGTGTTGGTGGGAAAGGGTTATTTGTGGTTATTTTCAGTCTCATCCTGGTCGACGTGTGTTAATTTGAGTGAATGTGAGGAAGTACCTTATTTGTTTGTATATTTTCAGGTAATTAAATTGTTGATTTAGCCAAAAATAGATGGTTCTACCTGCTAATTTTGTTGGACAATTGGTTTTCAAGAAAAAAAACTATGTGATGATATACACTGATATAAGAAAAATATTAAATTAAAATGAATGCTATGAGCAAGTACGGCGGCTCCGGGCTTCCACAGGTCAGTCCTACAATAGCAAAATTAAGTTGCCAAAACAGGGTACATTTAATTATTACTACCAACCAAAAGTGTGACAACTTGTACTGACAATCTACTGTATGTGCAGTACACTACAGCTACATTACCATTATGTTCATTTCAACCAGAATTAAAAAGCCGTTTTTATAAAATAATCTGCTTTCTCCTCCTTCTGCTTGTTAATGTTCTCGTTCTTGGGTGTGAGCAGCAACACCCTGCAGGGATAACAAAAGCAGTCAGGTAGGGCAGAGGGAAAACCTGAGAGGCGAGTATGGAAGTTAATAAAAGACGCAAGTATTTGAATTTTAACAGCCACTGAAATGTAAACACAGCTGAATTCATGGCGTTGAGAGATTTGACTTTGAAAACCACGTAGGGAAGAGCTGACTTGAATGTACACGTCATGGTTGCAACATGCAAGTTTCCTCTTGCCATGTAAATGTCATCATGATGTCATCACATTGGCACGTTACCAGCAGTAGTGAACTTCCCTCAGAAATATCAACAGGATTCCTCTCTGTTGGGAACGAGGGCTGGAAAACCAGTTTGGTACTAACAAAGTAAAAAGTTCAAGGGGTATTTATTTAATGTTACGTTGTGTTTGTAGGTTGTGGAGCTGAAATCTGTTCTTCATCAGTTAGCATAGTCTTCATGTCATGCGGGCTTGTTGTGGTCTGTAAGGAACGTTTCTGCTCTAGTCCATCTATGTTTTGTTCCAGTAGCCCATTTCTCATCAGGTTGCCCTGGTTTCCCAACACCTGACGTGGACCTTGTCGACCCGAGCATGACTCTTGTTTTGCGGTTTCATTCTTCCTAAGGTAGGCTAGCAGCATTAAGGACCTTGCTCAAGGGTCCAGACTGGATATGTGTTCCAGATCCAGACTGATGGACAAACAACAGAAGAAGGCAGTGGTGATAGATGTAGCAATCCCAAACGACAGCAACATCAGGAAGAAGGAACACAAGAAGCTCAACAAATACCAAAGGCTGAAATAGAAGCTAGAAAAGATTCAATTCAATTCAATTCAATTTTATTTATAAAGCCCAATATCACAAATCACAATTTGCCTCACAGGGCTTTACAGCATACGACATCCCTCTGTCCTTAAGACCCTCACAGCGGATAAGGAAAAACTCCCCCAAAAAAAACCCTTTAACGGGGAAAAAAAAACGGTAGAAACCTCAGGAAGAGCAACTGAGGAGGGATCCCTCTTCCAGGACGGACAGACGTGCAATAGATGTCGTACAGAACAGATCAGCATAATAAATTAACAGTAATCCATATGACACAATGAGACAGAGAGAGAGAGAGAGAGAGAGAGAGAGAGA